TATTTATCTCAGTCGATTCCATTTCTACATAAAAAAAAAAACATTTCTTACCTGGGATGAACGTCGGCTAATATTGGAAGATATTCGTCGACGGGTATCAAGTGTTTTAATGGCATTGCTCCGACGAGTTTCTTTGCGCCATTACCAGATAAAATGTACCCCAAAGTCCAATAACTATAACTAGGGCGCACCAAATATTTCGATCCATAAACCACAGCTTCAGAATTGCCTGCCAATATTTTTCTACCCAGGTAGCTACAAACGTACGACAGATTTCATATTTCGTTCGATAACTAAAGCGAAGATTAAATACATACATTAAATCCCATTGAACTTGAAGATCGTCCAGTTCTGCTAAAATGTATTTAATCTTTTGTCGAAAGTACGGTTCGAATCGGACGTCATCTTCTAAGACTATAACACTTTCGAAACCATTCTCGATTACCTGATAATTGCCCAATCTTTTATTATAATTCCAATGCACAAATTAATCGAAATAAAATAATTGGAATCCAATAATTATAATTACCTTACTCCAAATATTATAATGACTTAAAAAGCAACCGATCTCACCCATAGTCATTGGTCTGCAATTTTTTGTTATCATCATTCATTATTCAGTGAATTGTTCTCACAGACACTTACCGATCATGATATGGATCAGCGTACTCCGGCATCATTTCTATTCCTAATTCTTTGATGATAGAGCTATTTAACGCCCTGATGGAAGTGACACGTAAAATACCAAGTAACATTCTTTAATAATCACAATTTATAGATTACCTTCGTTTTAACTTACCTACCATCAATAGCGTCTATCGTTTCCGCTCTAATTCCAAGTTCCCTAAAAAGTTTATGCATTCTATCGCGTCTTTCTGGTCTTCTTAAAAGATTTATCATATAAATGTGATCCACTCCTAATGTATCCTTCTCAGGATATTGTACGAACTGTTCCAAATACGTCGATAGTGGTAAGTAGTTACTGTTCGCTAAAAGGAATTAATGGTTCACCCACGTTTAGTCTTCTAAACTGTTTCTCTCTATTCTCTCGACTTACATAAAATCTCCGTCTTAATATTAATCAGTCTTTGCTCATCATCAGCGATTGTCTCTGTTTCTTCTAATGGAACTGTCACGAAGCCATAAAAATGATCGTTGCAAATAAATAAAGATATATCTAAAAGCAAAGGAAGACAATTGATCTTCAAAGAATAATCAATCGAGAGAGATAGATTAATTTACCAGACATATTAGCTCCAACGGCAAAAGTTATAATATCGTCAGTGGGTCCATCATACGCTTTCAAATTGTTCGGGTCGTACGTAAGGAAATCTGAAGCGCGTCGTCTTAAATCTATAAGAACAGCGCTATGAATCATTGGCACGTTGAAACATCCTTTCTCCTCCCGATAAAAGATCGGTTCGTATTTCTCAGTTCTCAAATAATAATAATCATTGGTCATCCCAGCCCAAAAATTACTGTACAATCCGTCGGATTTCAACATGGGAGCGACTACAGTTTGATTTTTTACAATCAGCTCATTGAGAGTGTTTGGATTCGTCAGAAAGACGTCCGCGTCGAGCATCTATCATGAAATAAAATCCTTAATATTTTTTTACATCCACAGTCTATTTTATGAAATGAAATTTCGTACCCAAACGAAATCTGCCCACATATTTCCTCCCGCATTGAGTGCTTGTTCGCGTAAATTGATCACGTGTAAAAATCTTTGCCTGGACCATTGAGAAATTTCAAATTTATCTTTGGATATGGTTTCATCGAGATTGACGTCAATTCCATGGTATTCGTCAGCTTGATTTTTCAACCAGGTCGTCAAGATTTCAACGGAATTATCAATGTTGTTATCGCTTCGTATCCTATAATGTCAATCGTAATCTTTTATCACCGTTTCAAAGATTTCGAAGCAAAAACATCGATACGTATTAATTATCGATACATGTTTCGTGCGTTCGGGATATCATTACTTTGCAATAAATTATGGGAAATCGGAATTTATTGTTATACTCAGTTAGGAAATTAACATTGTTTAAATACATGCAGCATTCTCAATAATTAGTTTTATTTAAAGATCAATCAAACAATTGTTACAGATTATATTTTGTACATTTATATAGTAATATCAAGAGGAAGCATCGTACATTCTTATTTCGTATTTGCTCGTTTTATTAAAAATAAGCATTCATATTAATACTAGAATATTCATAACGTGCCATGCCGGAAAGTTGGGTTAAAGCGTGTATGCTTACCAAAGGTGCATTCGGTCTTTCGGGTAATGCAATTGTTCCAAGAACGTTAAAAAATACGGTAATGTATGTGCTTTGTTACGGACTAGAATCGTTATTAAAACAGTTGGCTTTTTATACTCGTCCCCAGAGATTAAAATAAAAAGTGCCGCAAAGATATAAACAAATCTTAATAATTTCATCTCCGTTCGTGATCTCCGCAATATCATTTTTTATCACGTATTTCTGTCATTGATCTTAGACGAAAAACGTAGGGACGTCGAAAGTATCGTACATGTACGCGTTTATTTCTTTCCTCGAGATAATATCCATCCTCCCAATGATTTGCCACCCACATTAAACGCACAGATGCAAGTCGATAAAGCGGTAAACTTCATACAGCCTCCTTTTACATCGCATATGTGGGTCAATGAAATAAGATAAATGCATTTTTAATTTTGATTGGAAGATCATTTATTAGTATGAAATAAATTATATTTATCTCAGTCGATTCCATTTCTACATTATTATTATCAAAATATACAGAAAATATTTAATGCAATGCTCTGTTCTATATTATTGTACCGCTTCGTGAACGTCTTTTTTCTTTTCTTTTTCACTAGCCTTGTCCTTCGCTTTTAATCGCGGGCTATAACTGAGACTCGATTTGTCAAAATCTAATACCATAATACCTAAATCACCGCTGAATCGGTTTTTCGCTACCTGCAATAACGACGCTGGAAATAATTCGTTTTTCGTTTTGAAATTTGAATTATGCTTTCACGTACTTGCAAATATTTTTTCCCTTTAACGCTGCTAAGCCTTTTATCCTGAATAATCAGCACGTTGTCCGCTTCTTGACTTGCTTTCGCGCTTCCGAAGATAGACGAAGTTGTTAGTTCTTCTTCGATACGTTCTTTCCTTGGATGGATTATCACGGTCACGTGGCAATTGTACGTTGTAGCGAAATTTCTAAATTTCGATATTATGTCATCTTGTTTCCAAAATCTAGAATGGAAAATTTTGTATAAAAGAAAAATAATATTCTAGAAAATATTTCGTAATACCTATCCATGTGCTTAGAACTATCAGTCGTTCCCATCATAAATTGAACATTATCAATTACTACATGAGCTATGTCATGTATATAAGTCGCATGCTCAACAGCCTATAATTTAAAGTATACAACGTTAACTTAAACAAAATTAAAAAAAACGCCATTAATTATGTTTGTGTACCCACATCCATCACTACTTTGATACTTTGTTGGCCGTGAAAAGTCATGAAATACAGTGGTAATTTTTCGAATACGTTTGCGTACGAATCAAATTTGTCAATGTTCTCGTCCAGAGGCACACCTACCATTTGCTGTAACATCGTCCTTGCTAAGCGTACATTCCTTATCTCGAAACTACCCCATAAGGTATTAACGCCTTGCATTGCTAAATCTAAGGAGTATTCACTCATAAACGTTGTCTTACCGCATCCTAATAACAAGAATAACTATTAAACTACAAAAATGTTACCGATAGATTTGAACGTATAATTTCGCTACCTGTTGGCCCAGTCAGTACCGTGAATTCACCTCTCCTGTGGCCTTTGAGTATACGATTTAAAGTCGGGTACCTTTTCCACTTTATTCCTTGAACCTTATCGTTATTTTGTAAATCGCTTAAGACATCGTCTCTGATTTCTTGGAAGGTGATTATACTCTTGTGCCACAGAGGTTGAGCATTCTGTAGTATACTTTTGAAATCGCAATCCAACTTTGCAGCTAATGTTGGACGGGGCTGCGTGTCCGTTGGCCTGATAAAGCAACACCGTTTTTCATTCAACTTCCTCGCAAAGCTCCTAGCAGCGTGCCAACTGATGTCATCGTTTCCAAACCATAAAACGAACTTCTTGAAAGATTCCAGGTATGGTAACAATTGTTGAGGTAGACTCTTCAGATTGTATGGGAGACAGAGGATTGTGTTTGCAGGTGTTTTTGATATCAAAGTAAGTAAATCGTCTACCATTCCCACGATCAAAGCAGTAGTATCACTTTTATTGCAATGCTGTTTGTACTTTATACAACCACTGGCTCCAGCCGCAGGCACTGTTTTCTCGTTTTGCATATTGTCAGAGAATAATTTATAGCCAACAATATTATTGTTTAGTCCCACCAGTGGAAAGTACAATGCGTTGCTTGCTCTTTCGTAAAAACAATTTAACTCAGACATATCCTCTTGTGGAACGTGCTGGAAAAGAATCGTTATCACTAAAATTTTCATAGGATTGGGAATATCTAGCTGTTTGCTTATTGTTATATTACAGGAAGTGAAAAGCTGTTCAGAAGTATTCTATATTCTTCTTTAGATAGATCTCTAATACTTTGACAATCTTTTATAACATTTTCCCATGTGCTCGTGAAGTCTTCTTTTGACTGTAGTCTGCTAGACAGCATTTCAAGTTCCTTGGTCTTTTCTACTGATTTCTCTGGAGATAGAAATTTTTCTAACAGCTCCCAAGAACCAGTGGACTTGCAATTATCACACATAAAGTACCCTAAAATTAAATTGAAACCTCTTCTAATCTGTTCATTTTAAATATTATTTCTCTAACTCTGACAGTGGTCTACCTGTTCTTTTATTTACATAAACCTTCGATTCTTTTTTTGTCTTATTACAGATAGGGCAGTCGGCGATAATGCACGTGTATCCATCGATCACAGATGAACATTGCTGTTTGAAATTTAGTTTCACACGCGACAGTGCTACATTTAACATCGATTCCTCGTGCTCCGTATGAAAATACTGTTTCCTAGTATAACATCGAATGTGTTTTCTCTTCTGAGCACACGTTCGTAAAAATAGCTTGAAGAACATTTTATATACAATTATCCATGAAATGACACTTGGCAAATTTTATTTACAATTTATATAGATAATTTGTCATTATTCGAATAGTACATGCGAACTGAATACGAGATATGAAGTTGTTAATGACTAGTCAGTTTTTTACAATTAATCATCTCATTTTTATTTGATATAAACGAATATTTATTGAGTATGTGCATTTACTGGTTTGTATGCACTGTTTATTACACGAGAATGTGCAACACGTGCACGTGGTTCAGTGAAGACACAGAGACACCTCGTGTGAGAATGCTTCTTTATTTTAACCAAAAGGATGGAACAGTGTTTCTTTATTTCCTCAATGCATTTTCTACATTTTACATGAATAAGTATGTATGTATTACCGGATTCGCTCAATTTTATGTGTCTGAAATTATTTAACTAAATAATACATGGTTCTCCGCTTCACGGCTCGCTGTCGTCCTTACTTGGAGGCTTGTAAAACGACAGTTTGACATCTTGCCTAATAAAATGATGTATACTTCTTGTAAAATTTAATTAATAAATTATTTCAAAGCTAAGAATTGATTTTTATGTTACCTCTCGGTAGTAGCATTAGTCGAGTTGTCCGCGTCTGTTAAGATTCCGATTTCATACACCACTGCTTTTATAACGTATCTGTAATAAATGAAAGATTGCATGTATCATCTCTTACAAGCATAAGGTTTGAGATTCTTTCATTACATTAACAAGGAACGTAATTATGCGAATCAATGATTTAAATAATTGACTTGTCACTAAGAATTTTGCAGAATCTTACAGATCATCCTCGGTTGAATTATTCGTTGCAGTGCTCGCAGGCACTGCCTCTGTTTCACTGGAATCTTGATCAGGTATGTGCAATGCCGAACTTAATTGCGCAAATATGAAAAAGGAAAATAGTATCAAACACAGTGTGCGAGTAATTTTAAGATTTCCATTGATCTCACTGGTGCACAACATTTTTGTAACACTACCCTTGGTTTTTGCTCGGCCACTTTTATAATGGACATTGGTGACTAATTAGCACCACTCCCTCTTCTTAACTTATGTGTACAAGATGTCATGATACACATTTTCATCTTGTTCATAAGTAGAAGCGGAAAATTTAGAGAGAAGAATAATGCCTCAAAAATACATTTATATACTGGGACTACAGACAGAACGTTCATATGATTCAATTAATTCTATATCATCAGAAATGTGATGGCCAAATACATGATACAAATGTAGAATCATTTATTAAAAGCAATAGATTATTATTATTAGAATATGAATAACATATTAATTACATGCATTCAGTTGTTCATAGTTTTATATAAATTATATGGCCTAGAAGTATGAAGGAATAAAAATATATACGTATATGTAATTTGTAACTTAATGAATACTGAGAATACACGTGGAATATTTTTTTAACAAGGTGCAATGTGAACTATAAACTTCTATACTTATTAAATTAGCATCTGGGTGCAAATCAAATGGTTTGTGCAAGGGTACATTAGATTAGAGATAACAGGGGACAAAATGCGTTTGAAATCAAATTAAGCAAATATGTTTCAGACTTCCGAATTGAATAAAAACACACGTTTGTATAAAATGAAGTTTAAAATCAGAGTAATTTAAAA